GGCGGCCCTGGGCCACACCTCTCCTGTGGCGTACTACACATCTGCCAGCGGACAAGGTGCTTCGGAGCAGAGTGAGTAGCAGTGGCAAGGCTGGAAACCCAGGCTCGACGTCGAGCGGGAACATCATCAAGAGTTCCAATCCTACGCGCGTGGGCCGGCAGTTTACACGCCTCAGCTCGACTTGCTATCCCCGAGGCTGCTACCTGTCGACCTGATAGGGCGCCGGCGCCGTTCATCGGCGGACCGCCGCAGGTCGAGCGGTTTCTTGATAGCCGGCGATGCAGGCCCGACGGCGGTACAGACTCACACAGCCCTGCCACTCGCAGACACCTGCCGTCTCAACACAACCACCACTCACATACCCTACCGCTGTCTCAATTGCACACATCCCGGATGCAAGGCCTCTACTTGGGGACAGAGGGAACGCGCCGCTCTCTCGCGTGCGGCTCGCGACGTGCAGTCGCGCGCTGTCGATCGCCCGCGGGATGGTGACCTCGTCCTCGGCTGCAGCTGCAAGCGGCGTCTCGCGCGGCACGCGTCATTCGCTTGAGGTTATACATTACACGATCCCGAAGAACGTACCGGTACCGCCAACTGCATGTGTGTAGGTATGCAGCCGAGTAATAAGCATTTGCTACGCATTAAGCACCGTCATCCCTGTCATCATATCATCAGTCCCAGGCTCCTCTACAAGGATCCGTGCAAAAAACGCACCACCCACCGTCTCTCTCCCCACGATCCCCACGCCCCACCGCGCGCATCTACCTGGGGCCAGGCCCGGGCCCGGGGCTGGCGGCCCTGCTCGGGCGGAGGGAGCCGGGGCGGGAGTCGTCCCAGTCGGAGCCCTCGACGGCGAGCTCGGCGTGGCCCATCTTGCGGAGCTTCTTGTCGAACACGCGCATGCGGTAGCGGCTCACGATGCGCTCGAGCAGCTCGGACGTCGACACGCCCGGCGTGCGCCGCGTCGGGAGGAACTTGCCTGGGCGCGGCCGTAGCGAGGCGAGTCACGACCGGGGGTGAAGGGGAGGGTGTCAGATGGGGAAGGGGGGAAGAGGGGAGGGGGAGGGAGGGGCGCACCTTGGGACTTGCAGTACCCGTAGACGTCGTCGATCCCTGCGCTCACGTACGGGTCTTCGTCGTGCGCGACGTAGTCGATTTGATACTGTATTCACCACGACACGAAAAAAGACCGTCAGCATGCGATGCGCGCCGCGAGGACTGGCGTACCTAAGCACGAAGAAAAGGCGTCAGCGGACGAGCGAGTCAGAAGAGGCGTGTGGTACTGGGACGCACGGCGGCCAGACGCTCCGACGGGACGCGAAGGTGTGCTGGCACCTCGCGACCGGACGGCGAGTCGAGCCGACTGTGCGATGGCGCTGGAGAAGGGAGAGAAACGGTGGAGGGGGGTGGACGATGCAGGGCGATTCGCGAGTTCGCGGGCGATCGATCGGTCGCGAACTTGGCGAGAGCGCTCTGCACAGGGAGGGGGACGCGGGGAGGACGACGGACGGGCGTGCTCACCTTTTGGAGGAACTCTTCCGTGATGACCCACGGCGCCTCGGGGACGACCTCGTCCACCCACCGACAATGCCGCACCGCCTCGCACCTGCACCCGCCCACCGCGCACGCACGAGTCAGCAGAAGAAGCGAGGGACGTGCGGGCGACTCACCGCTCGGCGTGGTTCATGACGGCCATGTTTTTGTGCTCCGCGCACTGCTCGTCCGAGTTGACGCCGACGAGGAGGTACACGCCGGGCACGGAGCCCTGCGGCGGGGCGTGGTCGAGCGGGCCCAGGGCCGTGCCCACGGCCGCGCCCGCGTCCTCCTCGTGGGTCCCCGCGGCCGCGGCGAGGCTCGCGGCGGGGATCGGCGGGAAGCTGAGCTTGGCCTGGCGGAGCTGGAGCGCATGGCCAAAGTGGAAGAGGTCGTACACGCCGTCGGCGTAGATGCGCGCGGGGCGGTCGGGCGGGGGCGGGTTGATGCGGTACGCGCGCGCGGGGTCGGCCCCTGCGACGGCGCGCGCGACGTACGCCTGGATGTCGGCGGGGGTGAGCTTCGCGGGGTCGAACGCGTCCCGCGCGATCGCGGCGGGCGGCGGCTCTGCGGGCGCGCTGAGCGGCAGCGGCAGCGTAGAGGAGGATACGGGGGCGGGGATGGGGGCGTGCGCGGATGGGGAGGCGGGGGCGGAGGTGGGGACGGGCGAGGGCGGCGGGGATGGGGGCGTGCGCGGATGGGGAGGCGGGGGCGGAGGTGGGGACGGGCGAGGGCGGCGCGGGCTGGGTGCCGGTGCTGGTGCTGGCGGAGGAGTCGTAGCCGAAGCCGTAGTCGGAGGCCGCGGTGCGGTCGCGGTCGCGGGGGCCGGGGGTGGTGGTGGTGCTCTCGACGTCGCCGTCGTAGGTGGGGGAGTCGGTGCCGCTGTGATCGTCGTCGGCGGCGAGGACGGCGGCGCGTGGGCGGGGTGGGCCCTTGCGGGCGGCGGCGGGCGAGGAGGACGGTGCGGGGCGGGGCGGGGGGACGGCGACGGCGGAGGCAGCGTCGTCTGTGGTGGGGTCGTTGTCCTCCTCGGAGGCGTCGTAGGCGGCGGGGGAGTCGAGGGCGCGGTGGTGGGGATGCTGCTGCATGGCGTGCTTTGTGCCGAAGGAGCGCTTTGAGTGGAGGGTGCGGCGTTGGGGGGCAAGCTGGGCTGCGCTGGCGGTGTCCGCCATCGTCCTGGTCCACCCACCGTGCGTTCAAAAAGTACCACTCGGCCATTGGCAGCGCCCACAGCCGCCACCCTCCCCAGATCTCCCTCCCCGATCGCCCCCCGCCCACGTGCGTGCGCCCATTTGGCATCCCGCCTGCCCCTTCCGGCCATCCCTACTTACGCCGACGTCATCGCCCGTCTGCCCGCCTCCTGCTCCCGCTGTGCGCCCTCCCTCCAGGCGCCCTCCCTCCATGGAGCTGCCGCTCGCGCCGCCTCTGCCCTGCCCGCCGCCAGCCAACGCACTGGCAGGCGCCCCGACGGCCTGGCCAATCTGCCCCATCGATAGCCGATCACGTTCCTTGGCCTCGCGGACTGGCCCAATCGCCCGGCGATCGTGCGCTGCCCTGGCGACCACCATCCGCAAATCGATCAATGCTGCACCCAAGGTCGTCCGAAGCATGACTGCCGCACTCCTCAACCCTTGACATCGTATCTCACACTGTGCGCGTACAATCCTTCGTGCTCTTAATTGGCTCTCGTCCCTTTCAGGCTCAGGGTGATTGCCGCACCGTCGCATATCGTCCGGACATCTCACCAAATGCGAATACTGTACCGGGGAGCGACCGCACCAAATCGGCGGCTATCTGCGAGCCAGCAAAGAGTGCTCAAGCTGCGCTAAGAACACCGTGCCACTGGCGGTGATTCGGCTTCCTTTATCGCTCGGACTCGCCGAGCCCCATGCTGGCCGCTCAGTGCAGTACTCACACTGTCGCTCAAGACGGGATTAACCATTGAAGATTCAAACCGAGCATGCAAGCAAGGCAGAACGGCAGTCTACTTGACGACACCCTCACGCACGACGCGTCCTGCCCGAGCTCTACGCACCGCCGACGCGCATTCGCGTCCGCAAGAGCCGTTCGACGCCTTTGCTGGGTAGGCAGGCTCCGGGTACGGCGTTGGGGGCTGTATCGCGGATACGACGCGGTACTCCATTGCCGCGGACACAGATGCTTGGGGGTCTCGCGCAGACCAGAGAGCCTCGACGGAGGACTGTAAGGTTCGTATTCGAACTTCTACCTTCGTATATACATGAACAGCGCTACAGGTCAGGTGCGACGGCAGCAGCGACCGGTGTCGTTTCATCGCACCTCGGGGCCACTGGGCGAGGCGCGAGCGATGTACGCCGGCGCTTACCGCCAGCGTGTTCTACAACATGTAAGGTATGTTCTACACGAGTCGTACTAAGCGCACAGCATACCACAATCTATACGAGACATTCTACGTGTTTATTCCATCGTTCAGTATCAGCTCAGCACGCTGGACTGACCTAGACCTCCAACTCTCCGGGCCACACATGAAGAGCCTGGCGTCGCTGTCCGTGCCACGAGCCCCAAGATGCGGGCAAGTAGGTGGTTGTCACCTCCGGCTGGTGAGTTAGTCTGTTTATGGCGGCGACGATGCTCAAAATCCACATGCGAAGGCGAACTGGAGTGGTACCTGTGCAGAGAGTGGAGGGGTGCCTCGAGTCGAGGATGCAAGCATTGGGGTGGGGTCTATATGAGGAGCTTCGGGGTTAATGGAGCCGCGATGATACGCTCGACGATAACGCAATGGCCGGAAACAAGAATGAACGGAATGCGCGTCCGAGTCGTATGTCCGTTGCGCTCATCCACGTACGTGACAGGTCCAGTCCTGCAATGGTCCCGAGCCGAGTCTCGCGGGAACACAACCATGGTCAGACCCCTACATTGCTGATAAAGCGCGTGGGCGACCGCTAAACGATTGGCTGACGAAATGCGTGTGTTGAACGTTCAAGGGCATCGAGATCTCGCGGTATGTAGCTGGTCTTCACTCCAATGTGCGCGTGCATCGACATGGCCGAGGTGCACAGGCCGCGGAGACCCGGATGGGCCAACATCCACAGCTGCTGGGCCGGGCCATGTTCCCGAGTGTACGAGGGCACCCATGTAGCCGGCCACTCTTTCATTTTGTCGAACTACTGTAAAGTGTTGAGCAAATGCAACTGGGCATATCCCACTCGCTTGATGCCTTGCACGAGTCCGTTCTACGAAAGGCTCGCACGTGCCGTGCTGATGTCGATTAAGATGTCAATTCACTTTGTTCCACTTCGAAGGCAATGGTCAATGTAGTATGCTCGAGCTTAGAACCACCCCTGCCTCGATTTACGACGCCTACAGTTACAGAAACAGTGGATACAGTGTACTGTATCGGGCCAGGATCATCTTGGCCCTTCGGCCATTGCAGCCCCATGCTTCTCCCAAATTTGTTGAGGTGGTTGCGGTCCAAGCAACTCAAGGCCTTCTTAGCTCAGTGGTAGAGCGCGTCACTAGTATTCCATCAGGCGAGAATGCACACCGGACGGCACATGACGAGGTCGGTTGTTCGATCCAGCCAGGAGGCATTCTTTTTGAGCTTTTTGTTCCTGTCATTGGATCGTGCCTAGACTTACTTACGCCTACTACAAGCGCCTGAGATATATGGCCTGCACAGGAACTGCATTCTACATGAAGGATGTGATGAGGAAGAAAGATGCATGGTGTGCAAGTGTCTGCTGAAGCTGAATGAGCACTAGTACTATATTGGATCATGATCTTGGACCCACTAGGTACTCAGACAGTTGGGCCTCAATCTGCTACTATGACACCTGCAGCTGAACTTTTGGTATTGTCATGTAACTATACCTCTTGTTGATGTCTATGTCAACTTATGGGCCAGCACCACAAGAATTGGGGACACTGGTGCCAATCTGTGCTGCCATGTCCCAATTTGGTAAGTGTCAGGTGAGTGCCCCCTATCCATTTTCATTGCTCTTCTACCTTGCTCACACCCACCAACCCAGTGACTATCTCCAATTGAAGAGTGGTTGCAAGTGAAGTGTGGTTCATTGTGGAAGAGGAAGCTGCATGGATCAAGCCTGGTAGCTTTGATGTGCTTGATAAGAGTAAACATACCTCATGCACACCATTCAGGAAGGGTGTCTTCATCCATTTGAATGGAGTATCTTCAAAATCATTGCTTGAAGAAGTTGAAGGGTGGTCACTTTAGATTGGTGTTCCAGGGTCAGAAAATCACTAAAAATAAACAGTCCCTTATCAATGAAAGAAGACAGTGTCATGTACATGTACACACCATTTCAAGGACTGTATCTCAATGCTCGACTGTGAAGGAGCACAAGCATCTGGGGAGGTGTAGGTGATGCTCAGGGAGCTGCTATGAGGCCTGCATGTTAGGGAAGGTCAGCTGCAGTCCTGAGTGCTTCTCAGCAGATGGATTACATACATGGGAATATCCTATGCAGTTGCAGCAGCCACAGAGTGTGAAAATCAACAGAGAAGCAAAGATGAAGCAAAGATGAAGCAAAAGGAAGCAGGATATTCAAGAGATCAAGGGTCCAACTCCCATATCCTGCAAAAATTAAAAATAGGCTGAAGTCCCTAGAAAATGCGGAATAATGTGGAGAAAATTAAGGGAAGGAGCATACTGAGAAAGAGACCATTCTAGACCATGGTGGACACACCACCATTCACCCAAGGACTTGGGCAGGGCACAGAGACTCAGAATACATCACATAAATGTGGATTATATTCTGAGCTCAGCAACAGCATGCCATAGACAGCACCCTGAGTCGACCTCTGAGTCCTTAGGACTTACAGAGCTTGACTTAGGTGTGTAGGATATTTTCCTCTCAATGAAAAGACTTACAGAGCTCAACTTAGGCCTTTGGTATTGCTCTGAGGCACACTTGTAATGTGCCCATTACAGTAATGACTATTAAGTGTTTGGGTCACAAAATCCAGAGAGCATGTGGTATGAGGAGTTGAAAAAAATTATTAGCAGAGAGCCCATCAAATCTCTCAACTTGCAGGATGCACAGCTTGAATGGTGGCTAGGATTTGGGAGAGGAGACAGGAGAAATGCTCAACAATCTAATAGATTTGGGGTTTATATATAAGATGAATCAAGTCCAGATAGTGTTTTCTTGGCTCATTTTGGGTTTATGCCACCCAAGATTACCATCTGGATATAGATCATCTAAAAAATGGGGTTGCATAGAAAATAAAATCTGTCTGACTATTAAATCATCTGTAGATTGTACTGCAACATTGACTTCCAGCTTGTGAGATTAGGATCAAAGTATCCCCAAAGCCTTGTATTACATGCCTCTGCCTCAAGTCACCAAGGCCTGCTAAATAATGTACATGACATACACATAGCTTCTTGAGCCTCATTGCACTATGCATGCACTGCTTTACACTTTCTCTGGCTGGATTGATACCAGGTAGAGTGCATAACAAGCCCAAGAAAAGCAAGCATTACACCTGACTACCCATGTAACTACCCATATCCATGGGTATACTCATGCAATTCACTAGAGCAAATCACTGGTGATCATGTATGCTGTTCTCATATTTCCACAAGGCTGCAGATTGCTGCAGAAGCTGCAAGGGAGAAGAGGGTTTTGGGAATCCCTGCAGCAAAGACATCTGAGTGGCAATGGACCAGGCTTGTCAGGTATCTGAAGAGCACAGCATCCAGTATATCCAGCACAGTCAATCTGCTAAATGCATCCAACACATTTTCTTAGTTTGTTTCCAGTGCATCAATTTTTATGTATGTAGATCAGTTGTTCACAGCCTGTACCTACTCATATGTGTTATGCAAGAACTCTGTGCATTCAGGTTCTTGAGACAGCAGCTGCTGAATCCTCTCAGCTCAGTCGCTCATTGTGGATCACCCTGTCAGGGGTCTCCCTCCCTGGTGGCCTGAGCTGTCTGTACACAACAGGCAGAACAGTTGCAGCAATCCCTCACATGCCCTGACTGCAAGTGTTCATGGTGTCACAGTGTGTGGTGAGGGGTGCCTGAACTGCCTTCTGCTTTCCCCTTGCATTGAATATTGTGTATACTGCTCATCACACTTGCTATCTCATTATCACAATATCACCCCTGCCATCTGTGGTTCTGTGTTCTCATCATGGGTTAGGTAGGAATGTGAGGAATCTGCATGAGATCACACAGGATGGCCATGCACAGGATGGCCATGAGCTCAGGGTACTTGAGAAGCCTCCCTGTCATGCTGGAGCTGAGGCTGCTCTGCATGACCTCAAGCTGCTCTGGTGAGAACACCACTGTGAGATGGCTGAACACGTATATTTGACATTCTTGACTGTCATGCATGTAGACTGTGTCCTTGTTCTGAGTGAGGCAGAACATGAGTTGGTGCATTTGGGGTGACTGCTCAAGGACACCTGTTCACAGCCCCCAATGGTCGGAACAACAGAAAGAAATACAGTAGGGCCATCTGGTCACAACACATGGAGGTCATACAGTTGCACTGTCCAGATGCTCCAAAGGTGAATACATGCCTTGATCTCCTGCCTCTCCTCCTGGTGGTCATCCATGAGCTTGTTTTTTGCTTGCCATTGAGGGCCTTGAGCCACTGGAGGTCCTCTAGGATCAGCTGTTGCATTGTGTTCAGTCATTGTGACCTGTTCATCAAATGGGACAGCAGGTCCACAACGGCCTCTTGAGACCACAGAGGTGATGGATACAGCCTGTGCTCAATCTGTGGTGCCTGCAAGTTGACATACTGTTTACCTTGCCACTTATGCTGTCAAAGCCAAGGGATGTCAGAGTGCTGAGCTGCTGCACCCATGCACAGTAACCCATCATGCACCTGAGGGTTCAGCAGGATTTCGAGGGGAATGGCAATGGAGATGGCATTCTCAGTGTCCATCCCTTTGAACTGGTCATGTGTGAATCACATGAGTATACCCATGGGTACCCCAGGGCCCAATACCAATACCCACATGGGTAAAGTAGCCATGAGAAGGGTATGAGCTGGGCATGGATATCACGGGTACCCATGGATATGGGTAGTGTTAGGAATGTGCTTGTAAGGAAGTCTGGACGAGGTAAGTCTGAAGTCCGAAGTTTCCGGAGGGCACGAGAGAGGACTATGGCGAAGGTATAAACAATGCCTTGAGAGGCTCGCCTGGTGTCCTCAATTTACTGGACTTAGATGTGGTGTCGAAGGCCAGAGTTCGGAGGTCTGGAGATAGAGTCAAGAGGAGATAGGAGGAGAAGACGAGAATGAGTTAAGAAGAAGAGAGACAAGGAATAAGACTTGAAGTGTTGACAGAGACGGAGTTGTGCAGAACAGACGGAGTCTGGAGTTCAGAGTGAAGGGTGTCGTGTTAACAAGTATAACAAGTACAATGAGATATTCGAACTGAAGTACAAGTATACTACAGCTCGGCTTTCATACAGAGTAAGCTAATTGTGAGTTGTAGACAATAGGAGTCCGTAGCATGTGGAATGTAATAATAACAGAGTCTGGAGTTAGCAAAGCCCCGAGGTAAGCACATGGAGTTTGAACAATAACTATTGTCTTGTAAGAAGGTGAGCGCATGGTACATAATTGTCCTGAGTGAAACATGGAATTGAAGATAGATGAAGCGTACATAATAAGACTGGAGTTTGGACATGGAGAAACAGATACAAAGATCGGAGAACCAGAGTTGCGAGACTTGGTGGCACGGATGTGACAGTGCCTCCCCATTAGACCCGAACCCTTGAGGGTCTCAGGGTCTGGATCTGAGATCCTGGAATGATATAAGGCATTGACGCAACCGAAAAGAACACAAAAGCCACACAAAAACCCAACTGTGAGGTCGAGCGGTGGTATGCGAGGCCTCTGCGCCTATGAGATGTACGGGGGACTGTACAGTGGTCTAGGTAAGAAGGAGGAGGACGGACAAGGCTCCGAACGACGTTGGAGAGCTTCGAAGATGTCGAAGACTGTTCGAAGACGAGGGCTAAGCCTCAAAGGTAGGAGGGAGAGTTTCGACAGACATGTCAAACAAACGGTGACAAGGAAGGCGAGCGACGGCAGGAGAAGAAGTGTAGAGCCTCTCGGGGCAACTACGAGCTGGCGAACGTACTGGTGAACTGACTGACTGACTTCGATCATACTGACTGACTGGCGAACTTGCTGACTTCAAACGTACTGGCTGACTGACGAACCTCGCCGGTGTGAGGTGAGATTGAGAGGGTAAGGGGGTCTCTGCCATTTGAAGGGAACAAGTCCCAGAGTATATACAGGAAAATACAGTCCGAAGACCAAGAGAGCCAAGAGAAATCTGAGAAATGATGAATGAGGGTGATAAGAGAAACAACCAATCGGAGGATAGCACAATGCTCGACCCGGACCTACTAACACATGAGAGAATCCAACTCGGCCTTCCGCAGGTTTGGAATAACGGACGACTGTCCCCGAACAGCGAAGACCATAACCGGAGCCGGTGACAGTCCCTGAAGATATGAGACAGCCGCAGGAGTTCGCCTGACTTCCACGAACATGCTGCACCTCGACCCAACTTCCGAAGCGTATGCTGCCCGC